CTCGGCCGTGTGTCTGGGGACTCCGAGCCGCCCCCAAGGCCTTTCTTTCCCCCTGCCCCCCCCTCTCCCGTTCCCCTTCCCCTCCTCTCCCGTTCCCTTTCCCCTTTCCCCCAGATGGAAGTTTTTATATATGTGTGTTTTCTGTAAAGGATTTTGTGCTAAACGGGCAAATAAGCACTAAGAGGCAAGTAATAGATATTATTTGTGTGTCTGTGCTGGTCCACTCCTTGTGTGTCACAAGGAGTTCTGTCCAAAGTAAGTAACAGTAAACTAGTGGACAAATGATTTACATATATTTGTGTATCTTGCAAGGAATTCTGTGCTAAATTGACAGGGGAACCACCAATAGGCAAATAATCCACGTGTATTATGTGTATCCCAGCTGAAAATTACATTTCAGGTACCTTAGCAATGTGCAAATAGCCCCAGACAAATCCAGTACATCAGTTTTTAATGCCTTCACTTGTGATTTACTCCTGATGAGTTGTGCCTTCAGGATGGTTTCTGGCACAATGTGTGAGTTGGGTGTTAGCACTGATAGTTGTGTTGGTTTGGTTGGGTTTGCAGAATCCGATGTCATTACCTGTGTCTATTTGCATATTCATTGTGTAAATGAGAGGGGTTGGGTTTGCCATGGTGAGTGAGGGTTGGAGAGAAACCAAACAGGAACACAGGAAATTACTTGTAATGCCCCAAACTCCCTGGATGTTTTATTTTAGGGGGAAAATAGCTGCACCAGAGTATCCCTTTTTGTCTGATTCATCTCAGTCCCTGCCAGCGCAAATCCAGGAAATCCCTCCCATGTGCACACCCAGGAGCGGGATTGGTGCTGTTCCTGCAGCAGGATTGGAGTGTGTTAATTTCACGTTGGAAACTGAAGCCTGGAAGGAAATGGAGTGTGAACAGGGATGTGACTGCAATCCAGGGGCAGTTCTAATTGGGAATTGGAGAGCTACTGAAGTGGCAGAGCCAGTGTTGCAGAGTAGCTCCCTGTAGCAGAGGCAGTTACTGGATGTGCTGCTCTGTCCTTAGCATTTTAACATGTCTTATTTCTCAGGTTGGTAGAGGTGAATTGTATTTTTGAAGTTTTGTAGCTGTAGATGCACATAAACTCATCTGTTCAGTGGTTACTTTGATGCTTTGGTATTGCTGATCTTACAGAGGTGCCAGGGGCTCAGTGTGATGCTTTGTGTTCTGTCCTCTGTGGCACCTCTGGGCCCGTCCAGGGATCTGCTCTCTCCCAGTTCTAAGTCACCCCAGAGAGCTGCATTTCCCAGCGGTGACTGCTTCCTGTTTCTGTCCCTCCTCCCTTCTCTGTCCCTCCTCCCTTAAATTCCAAGTCCTGCCTTTTCCCTGCCCATGGTGTTCAGCCCTTTTTGTAACCCATGAATTCTCCCCATAACCTGAATCCCTTTGTCCTGGATTGCGTTCGGATTCTTCCTTACCTGTGGTACCTCTGGGAAATCAGTCCCATTTCCATTGCTCCACTTCCTTGTTTGGACTGTCTGGCACTCTGACCCTGCTGTGTTCTGTGGAACTTCCTTATTCTTTTGTGCTTCCAGACCACATGGAACTTCCTGAGCTTCCCTAGTTTGCTTTCTCTCCCCTCATCCATCTCCTTATCCCACATTATTTAATCACCTATTTTCCCATTTTGTCTATACCTCAGCTTTATGCTACAGCTTTAATCCACAGTCAGCTTTGAATGCTTCCATTTCCCCTCCCCAAACTCTTCCCTCCTCCTCCTGCTTTTCTCCAGCTCCATTATTGTGTTCCCTAAAGCTTCATCCAGACTGCAGAGAGGAGGGAATGGATTCCTGGGTGTCCTGCTCTCCAGGACCTTTGTTCAGCCCCAAGGATTCCTCCTGTGTCCCAGCATTCCAGGCTGAGAGACAATCACTGGATGTTTCACTCTGGTGAATTACAATAGCGATGGATGAGGGCTTGTTTTGGGAACTGCTGGGAGCACTCAGTTCTCCATGAATTTCACTCAGTTTGAAGTGACTGGGAGTGGCAGGTTTAAAAGTGAAACCCACATGGGTGTTCAGTGTCAGGCTGCAGAAGCATAGCCTAACACGTTTTCAGTTGTGTTATCCCAAAGCATTTGGAGTGGCTGGAAATTGTGTCTGATAAATAGTGCATAGGAGCTGCTCTGTCAATATTCCATAGGATCACTGTTCCACATTTCCCTTATTCTCACAGGTGTTTTAAAGATGCCTGAAAATACTGCATTGCTTTTAGGTAATGAATTTTTCACAGCTCAGGCTAGTAAATCCTTCAGCTGTGCCATAACTCCTTGATTTGCTTCTCTTTACCATTCTCCTGCTGCCATTCTGTTCAACACCTGCTAATGCTTCCTTGGTGTTATATTTGTGTGTGTTTAAAAAGCACCATTTGGGCAAGCTGTGGGTCCCAAAAGGGCCAAGAGTTCCCATTTTTCCATCTCTGGGCCATTTCTCACTGCAGTTCCTTCCCAATCCAGCCTGTAAGCTGCTGGGGGAAGGGGGTGGTTCTACTTTTAATGCCTCACAAGCTGCGGTGCGCTGGCTCTGGTCTGATTCTTCACATCAGGCTGCACTGAAAGTATATCAAAGAGTGATCTGAGAGACATTTGGGGCAGTTGTGCACGTGGGACTGAGGCTGGTGAAGGTGAGATGAGCTCTGGCATTTGCAGGGACAAAAATAGATCCTGGATGTGTGTGTGGTGGTGGTGAAATCCTTACCCTGGATTCTGACAGCTCCCTGGCTGTTCCCAGTGCTGAAAGGTTTGATCAGTCTCGTGCAGCACAGAGCAGCTGCTCTGGGGAGAGCTCCTCTTGGAGTTGTCTGGGAATCTATGTAGGAAAGGTGGATCTGTGCCATGAATTGGTGTGGATATTTCGAGAGCTGCCTCTTGAGGCTGGTCTGTACCTTTGGTACTGGAGGGCAGAAGGGAACAGCACATGTGCCCTGGCCTGAGTCAAGACTTGCTGCTGCTTTCAGTCCCTTAGAGGCAGCTTTGCACTCCTCTGTTGTGCAGTTCTGTCTGCATAACTGTTTTCCTTGCTGTCTGTTAGTTTATACACCCAGTTAACCCCAGATCTGCACCATAGGCACTCTTGAAACCCATTCTGGGCCTTTACTGCATTGCTTCTGCATTTAGTTTGGGAGCTTGGTTTTGTTTAGGGAAGGCACAGCTGGAGCTGTACAGTTCTTTCCTGTTGTAGGAACTAGGTATTTTTGGTTTGTTTGGGGTTTTTTTTTAAGTGGCTCAAAATGTCTTGATTCTCATGGATTTTCCAGGTCTGGAATCTTTTAGGGGAGCTGATAGGTTCTGGGCTGAGGAGTAGGTACAGACTTGCCTTGGAGTGAAGTCTCTGTTTGCTGATGGGGTTTATTTAGGAGCTTCTCACTCAGACTCACCCGTAGCATTGCCTGTCAGAGCTGCTTGAATTCCTCTGTGTTTTAGGTACAGACCTGCCTTGGAGTGAAGTCTGTGTTTGCTGATGGGGTTTATTTAGGAGCTTTTCACTCAGACTCACCTGTAGCATTGCCTGTCAGAGCTGCTTGAATTCCTCTGTGTTTTATTCTGTTCCTGCTGGGTGACATCCATGAGGTTAGCCGTGTGTGTCACATGGGATGTCCATCACCCCAGGATGAGCCTGGCATTGCCATGTTGGGGAAGCTGCATGGTGAACTTTGGTCTAGAGTTTTTATGAAATTGGGTTGATAAAATAGTCACAGACTGGTTTGGATTGGGAGGGACATTAAAGATCAGCTAGTTCTACCTCCCCTGCCATGTGCAAGGACACCTTCTGACAGCCCAGGTTGCTCCAAGCCCTGTCCAACTTGGCCTGGAAACACTCCCGGGGATGGAGCAGCCACAGCTGCTCCCATCTGGTCATGTGGAGCCCATCCCTTCCTAGAAGATACAGAATCTCGGAATCGTTTGGGTTGGAAAGGACCTTTAAATATCATCTTGTTGCAACATCCTGCCAGAGGCAGGGACACGTTCCACTAGACCACGTTGCTCCAAGCCCTATCCAACCTAGCCTTGAACACTGCCAGGGATGGGGCAGCCACAGCTGCTCTGGACAACCTGTGCCAGTGCCTCAGCAGCCTCACAGGGAGGAATTCCTTCCCAATAGACCATCTAGCCTTGCCCTCTTGCAGGTCAAAGCCATCACCACGTCCTGTCCCTACATATCCTTGTCACAAGAGTTTTAATCATCCACATCATCATTTACCTTAATAGGTAATTTAGGGCCTAAAGGAGAGAATGTAGAACTGTGACTGATTTAGAAAGTTACCGACTTACCTTCATCTGGAGAAGAGGAGGTTGTGTGGAGACCTCAGAGCAACCTGCCAGGATCTGAAGGGGTTCCAGGGAAGCTGCAGAGGGACTCTGTGTTAGGAGCTGCAGGGACAGGACAAGGGGCAACGGGGATAAATTGACAGAGGGAAATTTAGGCTAGATCTTACACAGAAGCTTTCCCTGTGAGGGTGGTGAGACACTGGCACAGGTTGCCCAGGGAGGCTGTGGCTGCCCCAACCCTGGCAGTGTTCACAGCCAGGTTGGCTAAAGCCTTGAGCAGCCTGGTGTGGTGGGAGGTGTCCCTGCCTAGGGCAGGGGGTTGGGGCTGGATTATGGATTCATGGAATAGAACCATCAAGTTGGAGGAGACCTCTGAGATCATCAAGTCTAACCATTAACCCGTCACTGCTGTAACCCCTAAACCATATCTTCCAAATGATCTTCAAGGTCCATTCCAGTCCCTTAACAAACTATTAAACTGCGTTTTCCTTCCCTTTTCCTAGACACATCATGGAAACTAATCTGCGTTTGGGCTACTCATAGATACATTGTGGCCAATGAATTGCTGTGGTCTCTAACTGAGGCAGTGAAGTGTCCCTGCAGTGTCCCCCTCTGTGATCTGACCCCCTGAGCCTGCCCCTAACGAGCCTCTCCTGTCCTGTCGTTGCAGTGACTCCCCCTTGCCGGTGTCGTCCCGCGTGTGCTTTGTCAAGTTCCATGATCCTGACTCGGCCGTGGTGGCACAGCACCTGACAAACACTGTGTTCGTTGACAGAGCCCTCATAGTCGTTCCATATGCAGAAGGTTTGTGACTTGTTTAATAGACTTATCAAGCCACTGCTTGGTGGTGTTTCATTCCTGTCTAGTGCACAAAAAAAAAGAGCAGTAGTAAATGTCCAACTTGGTCAGATACTTCCACTCTGAAACCCTTGGTATATTGCCCTTGGGCCATGCATCAGTGATTTGATTTACCCACCGACACCCAATCGAAGTGCAAAGTTTTGTGTGTCTCTTAAGTTTAGAATAGTCACATTTTAGGCAAAATTATGTGCAAATTTTGCTCTGCATCAGTCTCAACTTGAGTCTTTTCCCGAACAGACTGAAATGCAAACAGGTTCAATGTTTGAAGGAACTTTTGCCTTAATAATGAAGCACTTGCCACTTTCACATAAGCAGAAATCTCTTCATGAGAATGGTTTCTTCTTCCCTGAGAGTGCATGGGAGAGGAGCAAACATTTCCTTGGGATATGGTGCTGCTACATTTCTTTGGGAACATCCCAACAGGCCCCTGCTCTCCCAGTGGAGTCCAGTATACCAAGGGTTTGGGTAGTTACGGTTAAATACAAAAGAGATCTGCCAAGAGGTGCCACATGGGCACTGGTGCTAGTTGTTTATTCCAAGTTTTCTTGTTCATCCTTGATATATTTAATAGAATTTCACTAAATAATAAACTCTTCTCTCTGTTATTTGTGTGTGTGATTTTTGTAGTGGAGAAGGCAAATGCAAAGCCCTTCCAGATGACTGAAAAACAGTGGGTCCTCTGCAGCTACAGGGGATTCTAGACATTAACTAAAGGCCAGCAAGCACTCAAGTCCCCAAGTGTTTTCCTGGTGTAACCACTTGTTAACTACATTTTCTCTTCTTTTTATTTTTACATTTTAGGGTGTTACAGTAATTTGAAAGGCAATGAGCAGGGTTTTTGGAACTTACCTTAAAAGCAAAGTGCTGAGAAGACACCTCTTCTTACAGAAGTCTTATTAAACTCTTCTAGACTTGCTTTAGAAGTAACTGATTTCCATTGTACTTGTGCATTTCTTGATTTACTTCTGGGAAAGCTTGAATTTAATAAACTCTTGCAGATTAAGTCGTATACTACAGTGCTAAGTTTGGTACATGGCCTGGGTGGTTCAGACCTGTCAGAAAGACATGGGAATGCTGTAGGCTGTGTCTTGAGGCCTGGGGAGCTGTCCTGTCTTACCTCTGTATTCCTTAAGCTTAACTTAAGTATGAAACTTTAACTTGAAAGTATGAAACTTAAAGATATGAATCTCAATCTGAACTGTAGGCCCTGGAGTGTAGGAACGTGCAGAGTGGCCTTTGTCTGAGCCATGCTGCTTCCTGAGGGCACAAAACCCCTTCTGACATGGAGTTACTGCTTCTGCTGTCACTAGCTGAGGTGTAATAGCAGAGCTGGAAGGCATCTGGTCCTTGTGTGTGTATTAAATACAGCAGCAGTGGGTTAGTGCTGGAATATTCTCCAAGGCCCATGTTAACATTATCAGTGTTCAACTCTTCCCATAAGGATAAACCACTTTTTTCTCTTTGTCAGTCTGACTTTGTCCACTGTGGATGAATCTGGCACATAGAGAAACCTGCCTAGTAGTTTTGCTTCAGAGTGTGTAAAGAAACTGAAATGCTGAAAGCAGAATATGTTATTGGGCCTGTTAAATGGAGGAGTTCCTCAGGGGCTATGTATTGTGTTCTGGCAGCTCAGAACCTAATGGGTTTGGCATATCACAAGAGATATGTTCAGCCAGTAAAGTGTTGCCCCTGGGCTGATCATCCCATGGTTGTGCCCCTGTGCTGGAGCACAATTTCTTCCCAAAATCCAGCCTGCCAGGGCCCCAGCTCACCAAGCCAAGCCCAAAACAGCAAGATAAACCCACAGTGCCACTGCTCATGTGCTTAAAGCCAGGCATGTGCTGAGCTGAACTGGGCCTTCCTCTCTCTGATGTGTTTTGTGCTGATTAATTCTGTGTCAATATTGCCTGTCACTAAAGCAAATGTTTATTATCTGTTTAGTGCAATAATTCCCCCCCCAAGCACCCTCCAGTTTTAGCTCACACAGACACTTTGGTGTTGGCTGTTGCTTTGTGTTATAGAACTATACACAAAGGCTACGGTAAGGTTTAGTATTTGTCATTTTCTCTGGGCTTATTCCTAGATGTGGAAGGAAGTCTTAAGGTTAAAGATGGCTGGGGGGGTTGTCTAGGCTCTTTGGTTAATGTTTGTTTCTTTTGTCTGTTTCTTTTTCTTTCATTTCTACACATTCATGCAGTATTTCATGGTTCTAACAAAGCAGCAGTAAAAAAAGCTCTTGAAGCATGAAAATTAACTGGTGAGGGGCCTCATTGCTTTTTTTCAATTGTAGTTTATTTAAATACCTTAAAAAAAAAACGATTAGAGGATCAGATGCATGAATTTTTTCTTAATGGATGCAGATCTTCTCTGAGGTGTCTCGAGCTAAGTCTGAGGATTTGTGTTTAGATGCCAGAAATGTTGTAGTTGCTCTAATTTGAAATGTTTAGCTGTAATTGATAAATATCCTCTGAGACATAATTTTGCATGCAAAGCTACTCCATAATCTCTCTG